ATTCGAGTAATTTTATAAATGAATATTGTAAATCAATCCAAAGTAAGAAGTGAGGATCATAAGGTGAGTGCGCTCTAGCTACAATGCTTTTCTCATATTTTCACAAATCAATTCTTATTTTATTGTCTATTTCTCATAAGCAAAAATTACAAAAACAAGTCTTTAAATTCAGTTCTCAATTTCAAACCAATCGACAATATTTGTCACAATCTTTGAACTCTTCCATTCTTAAAAGGAACAATTAATTGATATTCGACCCAATCCCTGTGGAGACGATACTTTACTTACTATCTATATTACTTATGCGATCGGTACACTTGTCGGTGAGCATTACATCCCTTTGGCGAAACGATTACCTCTCCCAATCTCCGCACGGGCTTCCTAGCCATGTTGCAAAAAGTATTCCACTAGTTTAGCGTTAGTGATCCACGCCAGTGAACTAATAGGAAAGGTTTCAGGCGCCTTTAAGGACTTTGTTAACACACTCTGAGAGATTTTTCGTCATGTGGCCGAACCTTCTTCCCTCTTCATCGTAAGTGATACTCCACTTCTCTTTCGGGATGCGATTAATCCAAGCGACTATTTTAAGGCTTGTTTCGTTAAATTTCTCTAGACCAGCATCAAAATCCAAGTGCGATGTTGTATAACCTGCATACAGAAACATCAAAAGAGCTTCATTATAGTACATAATTTAGTTGAATTTCGAGATGTAAGAGATTCACATATAGACATACATACCGAACTTCTTCAATTGCTTCTTCAACATAACATTCTTGAACTTGTGATTAAAATTACTACCCACGTGGCGAAGGCAATATACATGGTATGCATGGGGTGGATGCCATCCAAGATCAACATTGTTGACTGTAGACAAGATAACCGAATGTCGATCAGAAATAAGACAGATTTCGTGTTTTTGAGTAACATGGGTCCGAATAAGTGCCAAGAACCACGACCAGTTGTCAATATTCTCCCCTGAAAAAATTGCAAATCCAGTTGTCAATAAGTGCCAAGAACCACGACCAGTTGTCATTATTGCCATCGACTGTTGTAGCAATCATTAGGGTTCCCCGGTATTTTCCATAAAGGTGGGTATCATCAATCTGGATAATCGGCTTGCAATAATTGAAAGCATCATAACACTATTTAAATGTCCAAAACACCCTCTTGAACACTTTGTAAGCTTTGTTAGCTTGATCGAGGCACTCGTCAATAAAATGGTCACGCAAATCCAGCTTATAGGCGGACCCTAGAGAAAAACGCAACCTGTAATCCAACCATCTTTGTAGGAACGCATAGGACTCATCCCAGTCCCTGAAGACTTTTACAATAGCTTTTTGCTTTGCCTTCCTATAAGATATATAGAATCCAAGATTTGTTGCTTTCCTTTCTTGGATTAACCCAAATTTAACACCGAGCTCCTCCCTTATCATTTCTGCATTTGGTCAAACAAAACTGTATTAGTAAGTATTCTAGAATTTTTTAAATGTACTAAACACAATTTTACGCACCTAAGATTTGAGTCCAACTGCTTGTGATCTTGAGTAAGACTTTGACTGACAGGTGTGTTCGTTGTTCCTTATGCCTATAACCTATTCAGTGCCACCCTTTTTAAGGTAAGCCCTCATCCTTCATGGACAACCGTCGTTATGATTTTGACAAGCCATTATCAGTATTTTTGTATCACTTATGTCTATGACTGTTGTGCGATGGTTCGCCATACAATATTATTTGATTGCCATCTGTACATCCTGCTTGCTCTCAAACACTTGGACCTTATATAGGTCTTGACCTATTTTCCAGTTAGCTATTTGCGCTCCATGCATTTCATCCAACTCCTGATTTGGGTATTCCCAATTAATATTCATGTAATGGCTTATTTGAGACCAAAATGGTGCACTATCATTTCCTGCAAAATCACACATCCAATACAATATTCTGTGTCATTTAATAATAGGGAAAAGTATTTCTCCAGTTACCGTAGATAAAGTTATCTCCAGTGAGCTCAAAATGACATCGTTTTGGGATTATAAGATTAAAAAATTATAATAATAAAGACTAATATAACCCTGCAATATATTATAATTACAAAAACACCTTCGTTTTGAGCTCACTAGAGATAACTTTATCTCCGGTGACTGGAGAAATCCTTTACCCTTAATAATAAATTAAATAACCACTAATAAACTATTATGCTTACTTACTTGCAACTGGAGGGTCTTGCATTCCGACAATGCCCGGAGAAGGAATTGGTTGACCAACTGCAGTAGACAGACAACAATCAAAATCACCATCGACATTTGTATCCAATGAGTCGCTATCCAAAACAAGACCTTCGTCCAGCTCTTCCTCGACACTGTCCGTACGCCAAGCTGGATCGTACATGTCGTGGGTCGGCAATATTTTATCATAAATTTGTTGAGTTGGTGGTGCTGGCGGGGGGACACATTCTCATTTTCCGGATTGACCAGTGGCTCCATGTTTATGTAGATGGAGTCAATAGATGGTACAGAATGTTGACTGCTTGATTGTCCACCGTAGTTCACTTCCATATACAATTCAATAAATCTGGACTCCCCGTGCTCGGATGTGCTTGCATCTACTACTAACCCTACATCTTCATCCTCGGCAATTTCCACACCAACCCACTACATGGGGTTACCTGAGGCACATCTAGCAGTTAATCGAGAGAGAGATTGACCCCGTTGTAATCTCAACTTCTTGTATATTATCTTCTTCATCTCATGAAGATTGCATGCTGGGCTCATGCGAAACATTTTTACATCTCCTTCAAAAACTTGACCATTCGGTCCAAAATATTTTCTCTCATTATAATAAAGAGTGGCGATTAAATCATCCCTACTGTCACTCATTGTGCAAAAGTAGAAAAAAAAATAACAGCCAAGGATGAAACAACCGAAATAAATCTATATATATAAAAGGAAATTTCGCAATGAGTATGCAGGTACCAAAAAAGGAAATGTGGGTGGGGATTATACAGTAATAAATTCACTAGACCACATAGCGAATTACCCAGACAAATTTCGATGTTCCCCATAGCAAATTCCTAGGGGGTTGACACGTGTCCTTTTGTGTCAAACACATGTACTTCGCTATGAGTCACAGCGAATTATACACGTGTACTTCGTTACTTGGTACAACGAATTATGGGGGTGCTGACACGTGTCCTGCCACAGTTTGAGCAAGGACTCACATTTGACCACGTAATTTGCTAACACCTAAAGCGAATTACATGGCCAACAGAAACGTGCCACATCAGCCAACGTACTTCACTGCGGTGTATAGCGAATTACAACGTGTGGCATTCCAAAAATTTGTACTAATCGTGTGGCATTCAGGTGAATAGTTTCATGAACAGTGACAATTTGGTCACTGTTCCACTTATTTGAGCGAGAGAGCTTCTAGTGAAATGTTGTAGAGCACGGTGTGTTATCGGGTGGTAATTGCACACTAACTTTGTACACAACTAAGTTAGTTGAGTAATATGTTTAAAGGGATAGGTTATTCTACCTACATTTGCCTACTACTCTAAAATAACATTAGATTAGAATTTTAATTAACATTTATCTTTCTCTCTCATTTTTAGATTCTGATCTAACGGTGTTGTTGAAGAGTGGTAGACAGAAAAAAAATGTAGATAGAATAATTTATCCCATATTTAAAATATCCATTAGTACAATAATTTATTATTTAAATTACATATATTAGGTTTTTTTTTTTTTGCCTAGGTGAGACAGATGACAAATAATTAGATTCTGGCTTTAAATTGTCATACATATTTTTGTTTTCTATGCGATGATGTGCACCGCTTGATGAACATAACAGCATAGGTTTCAACTTAAAATTTGCACAATTCCAACACCTGAATTACGGATCAGCAGTGGAAGTAATAATTAGGAAAGACATGCAACCCACATGCAATTATTCACAAAGAATTGTGGTGGCAGCTCTTCTGGTAATACATAATCTTTTGTTTCCATGAACTGTCACAAGATCACACGAGACTAGTTTTCAAATGATTTTGGTTTCTTCAATTTTTTAGGATGGATTATTACTACTACGAATTCACGTTCTCTGTTAAATCAATATATATATATATATATATATATATATATATATATATAGGGTTCGGTGTTTGTCATTTTAAATGATATAAGTTATGTCATTTTAGGAGAGAGATAGACACAGAAAAACAGAAATCATGAGAGAGAGAAAGTGAGTGGTTTTTTTTAATTTAAAATTCAAATTTTCTGTGTCTGTATCTCTCTTAAAATGACATAACTTTCTGTCATTTAAAATGACAAACACTTTTCCCATATATATATATATATATATATATATATATATATGGGACAGAATCCTTTGACACCGGTGTCAAATTTTGAAATTTGACACCAAATCTTATTCGTTGATTTCCGTCAATCAATGGTTATCAATGAGAATTAATATTAATTAGTAAGTTTGATTCCCAATAAATGATAACCGTTGATTGGCAGAAATCAACGGTTAAGATTTGGTGACAAATTTTAAAATTTGAGATCGGTGTCAAAGGATATATATATATATATATATATATATATATATATATATATATATATATATGGGTTCCATTTTTCTGCAGTAAGCCAATACGACGTCGGTTTGTGACGGAAATCATGATATTTTTGTAATTTTAATTTATTTCAGGGTTATAATAGTCTTTGTATTTATAATTTTTTAAGATTTCAATACCAAAACGATATCGTTTTGAGAATAAATGCAGATAACTTATCTGCATTAATTGCAAAAATATTTTTCCCTTTAAAAAATAAAATAAAAGTTAAACATATAAAGCTTTGGTATTTCGGGTGAAAAAATAGAGAGATGTATTTTAAGAAACATAACTCCCATTGTTGATTAGCCCAATAACAACTTATAAAAAAAAAAACAGAAAAAAAAAAAAAAAAAAAACCAAGTGACCAACGAGCACAAGCACTAGCTATGCTTTCCTGTTTAAACAAAAATCAAGAAAGGCAGTCCACAAAAGGACAAGGTTGTTACAAGGTTTAGCCCATATAAAAAACACTATTACATTTACCCCAGAACTGACTACAGGCTACAGCTGATCAATAAATTAGCAGCATAAAATTATAGAAACATGCTTTGACAATAATAATATACATGAAAAAAAAAAGGACCTAAAAAAAAACTTGCGAATCATTTCTTAGAACGTTTCTTGGGTCGTTTATCCTTGCCCGCACTAACACTACTTTCCCTCCCACGCTTCGCACCAACTGCATTGGTCTCTGCGGCCTTCTTTGGAGGTCTCCCAACACTCCTCTTCGATTGAGAGTTGCTCTCAATATTCTTATTCCTTTTATCTCCTGACACTCCTCCACCGTTATGCCTTGAAGCCCTTTCTTTCCCTTTATCCCCTTTTCCACTATTTACCATTTTCTTTTGCTCTTTCGCACTAACACCACCTCCACCACCCCTGTTGCTGCTGCCACCACCCCTGCTGCTGCTACTACTTCCTCCTCCACCACCACTCCTCAGCGTCTCCACTGGGGCATTTCGCTTTATCCGTTTCAAGAAATCTGCGGCGGCATTCCTCTTCTTGTCTGGGACCCCCTCTCCTTTGCTCTTCTCCGGTTTCAGTGTCTCGGCTGGCTTGTTCGCCGAGGACCCTGCTTTATGAGTGGTGTTAGAGGGTAGTTTCTTATTGCCAGGGTTGCTGTTGATATTCTTGTTGCTTCTCCTCAGGCTTCTCGCTCCAGTGACTGGCTTTTCCTTGGCCTTGGGAGGCTCCTCTTCGTCTGTATCAGAAGAAGAGGGTTTCAAGTGTGGTTTTGCATCAGAAAGTGGTTTTTCCTTCTTCTCATTGATGATTGGTTGGTCACCCTTTTGGCCAAAGGTGGCCAAGGAAGGTTTGGCTGAGATTGAACTGCGTTTGCGGCAAACCAATATAGGAGTCGCTTTGTGCTTGGAGAGGAGAGAATCTGGTTTGGCTGGTTGTGGGTTTGGAGGGGGTGAGTCAGTCTTCTGAGGGGTAGGCTCAGATTGCGCTTGGCCGTGGTTCTTAATCTCCACGGTGACAAGGCGGTGCAGCTTCCGTGCTGCTAGTGATTCGACGGAGTCTTGGGGGAAGAACACGGTGGCGTTGGTGAAGAGAAGTAGGAGGTCGCGGAAGAATGCGTTAGTGCAGGAGGAATAGTAACCCTTTTGGAGTCTAAATTGTATGGTTTCCAAGTCCACGTGCTGTCGCACTATGTCTTTGTATCTATCCGATTCCTGTAAACCAAACCGATTTACTTAGTTTTACAATTCCATGAACCTACGTGGCTACGTCTGATGTCTATTTTATCATTAAATTATCAGAAAAACAGGTAGATTTTCATCATGAAAAATCATAGGGAGTTTCAAATTCTAATTTTCTTCAAACAAATTTACATTGTTGGTATGAATCTATTCGACCATAGAATTTAAGTAACAATATTCAGAGTAAAATGAATTAACTAGATGCTTTTAATGTTTATACAGTAAAGGCAAATAAGTTATCAATATTCACTCTCAAAATGACGTTTTGAGTTGAAAGATTAAAAAATTATAGTGAGAGACTATTTAACTTTGAAATAAATTATAATTACAAAAACACCATGATTTCCACTCCAAAAAGATATCATTTTGAGCTCAACACATATAACTTATCAAAATTCACTGAAGAAAAAACAAACCCTAACTAACTTTTGGAATGAATTAAGCATTAAAATATGGAAAAAAAAAAATGTGTCCTTTTAAAGGACACACATTTAGATCATTTTAAAAAAGAAATAGACACAGAAATCTGAGTTCCACTGGAAAAAAAAATAAAAATGCGTATCTCAGCTGTGTCTAACTCTCTCTTAAAATGACTAGTATGTCCTTTCATTTTTTCCCTTAAAATATTCTATAATAGGTGCATATCTAAGACCGCGCTTTTTGCTGTTTAAACCATAAAGGACGCGCAAAGGAACAAAGAAGGAAAGAACACAAAAAAAGATAGGGCCCATTCGCAATTCCACTACCGTTCTTCTTTTATTTATTTATTTTTCTATTATTAAATTCGAGCATTAACAGCTTACAACCCATAACACCATAACGTTCCCGTCTAATTCACACATTCGATTAGAGTATTAGACTATGAATATTAAACGACAACCCGGGAATTTTACAGTTATTTTAAAAAATATTATTATGGGGTAGGATATTATAACAACCAATTAGTCTTACTACCAATGTTACTGCCAATCAATTTCACAATCAAATCGATTATGTTGATCCAACGATTATATTTATTTTCATTTTTATACGGTTATGATTCTCCGAAAGCATTAAATATGAGAAATTATAACAATACAAAGGAGAAAATAAATATAAAATATTAAATATCGAAAATCATAACCATACAAAGAGAGAAATAAATATAACCGTTAGATCAACATAATCGATCTAACGGTAAAATTGATGGATAGTAACACTAATTGGTTGTTACAATATCTTTATCCTATTATTATTTATACATTATAAAATATTTATTTTTCTATATTATAAATACATAAATATTTAAAATAAATTTAATTATTTATCTGTTTATGAGAATAACATCTGTCATTTTAAAGGATATAAGCTTATATTATTTTTGATCTTAACCGCTGATTTCCGTCCATCAACGGTTATAATTTATTGGATCAAAATTATTAATTAATTAATAATAAATTTGGCCCATTAAATTTGACTCAATAAATTATAACCGTTAATAGACGGAAATCAACAGTAAAGATTTAAAATGATATACGCTTATATCCTTTAAAAGGATAGATGTTTTTCCTTCTGTTTATATACCAAAATTTAATTTATATAATTTAGTATACATATAATTAATATTAAAAAAAATATCGATGGTTCAAAAATTTTAAAAGATTTTATATTTTTAAAAAAAAAACACGATAATAGAATAACAAAAAAATCTACTCCAGACAAACATCAAAAAATTTAATATTCAGAGGTGACACAGTTGGATGATTACGACTTATGACCAAACACGTCACCACCGCGGATCATGGGCGCAAGAAAAGGAAGGAAAAAAATGAAGCGTATAAGAATAATTAAATATTCTGGGTCATCGAATAGATTGTAGCCCAAAACAAAACAGATCATGGGCTAATAGAATGATTCGGCCTGAAATCACCTATAAGCATGTTGCATGGATGCACGCAATCCTGGGCTCAGAAGAATGCACGTGCTAAACCAAAATCTTTTCACAGTTTGTTTCCCAAAATTAAGGAAAAATAAAATATTTTTACTCAAAGGAAAAATTGCGTAAATATTGGTCGTTTTTGTTTATCCTTTTTGAGCCTTAGGATCATAAGGTATTTAAAAATAAAGAAACAATTTTGCATGTTTCACATTCACATCGAGACACAACACATCTGCACCATTGGGGTGAAACTAGGCCGAGCCGGCCCACAGGGGCCTACGACTCGGCCTATGTCAGGCCAGACCTGACCTAGTATATTTCGTAAAATAGGTTGAACTTGGACCTTGAAAAAGCTTGTTTAATAAAAAGGCCGTAGGCCTACTTTCACAAGGTCTGGCCTATAAGCCTACAGGCCGGCCTATTTTGTACAATTTATTTTAAATGAAATAAAAAAAGTAAGAATGCCTTGAAGAAAAAACAAAAGATATAAATTTAATCAATTGTAATTATTTATAACTTAATTATATTCAATTATATTTTAATAGAAATCTAACTTTATTTCTTATATAGGAGGAACCAACATCTCATCATGTTAAATCATGTATATGAATACATTAAAAGGTTTTTGGGAGAGGTTATACTTCTACAAGCATCATGATGTGTTTGTTGAATTCATGTAATTATTTTAATTTACATGGTATGGATTTGTTTGTTTGGATATGATGAAATATATGTTATTTAATTTGAGCATTTTGCTTTTGAAAGTGACTTAAATGTAGATTGTATGAGTTTTATTGTGATTCATGATTCTGTTTAGACGTTGAAATTATGATTTTAGTTTAGCAACAGAATTTGAGTATTTTGTAAAGTTGATTCATGGTTCTGTTTGGAAGTTAAAAATTAACAGGCTAATGGGCTGGGCCAGGCAATTTATTTTTTTATAAACGGGCCAAGTCGGGCTAACAGTTAGACTCGTAATAGGCTTGGACCAGGCCAAATTAAAATTTGTTGGCGTAAGCTTGAATTTTTCGGAGCAAAGCTTGGCTCAGCCCAGCCCACTTTCACCCCTATGCACCACAGAATAGATTTAATATTTACACTTACTAAGCGTAGTAAAGATATTTATGAAATTATTTTATGCATATAATTAAGGATTCATTTTTTTATGCAGTAAATTATCTACGGTTGGTCCAAAACAATATCATTTAGATAAAGAAATAAATATATTTTTATAATTATAATTTATTTCAAGATTATAATAGTCTTTTTTTTTATAATTTTTTAATCTTTTAACTCAAAATAACTGTCGTTTTGGGAGTGAATATAAATATTATCTTCGTTCAACATAGAAACATTAAAGCCTATAATTAATTAATAATTTCATATATAACTTTTGAGATAGAAATGATATCGACCTTATAGATAAAGGGACGAGAAATAATAGGAACTTGATCGTATGTAATTACTATTTTCAGCTAGAGGAAATAGACGGTATGATTTTTTTTAATATAATTCATTATTTTCAGCAAGTTTTTGTTTTTATTCTTTTTTTCATTGTTTCCTCTTCCTGCCTGTACTTAAATTTGTTAAAAGTTTTATTTAAAAGTTATTCATTTAACTTTTATAAAATGATAATAATAATTAAAAAAAGGAAAATATATATAATTTGATCGTGCATGCATGTAAATTTCATACTTCAAATAAAAATAAACTGGAGATTATATCCAAATAGTCTATAAACTCTTACAATTATATCTTAACCGTTAATTTTTGCTAATTAACCGTTATAATTTATTGTGAATTAATAATTAATTAATAAATTTAATTTGCGAAAATCTTAACCGTTGATTGACGGAATTCGACACTTAAGATATGATTATAAGAAATTGTAAACAAAAATAGATGGTAAGTATAACCTCCTTTGATGAAACAGGCAAAAGAAAAAGTGAAAAATGAAATTATTTAAAAAAAAAAACATGAAATACCGGTTTTATCCAAAAACAAAAGTTGAATGAAATACCTGGCTTTCGAGACGGCGCTCGAACAATGAGCCGTGTTCATGTCGTACGATCAACTCCAACACGCTAACCAACGGTTCTGATTTCATTGCCATCTCGTCGCTCTCTGGCGCAACCTCGCCGCCACCATCGCCGCCGGAAACCTCCTTTCTCCGCCGCGCCTTCCTCTTTCTTGTCAAGCTGGCAGAGCTCTGCACCTCGCTGCTCTCCCTCGTTCCTCCCTCCCCCGAGTGAGTCACCGAGTCATGCAAGGACGAGTCCTCCTCCACTTTCCTCTCCTCACTCGGAGGCACCGACTCGCACGTTGGAATTTTAGTTGTGGTATCGTAGCTTCCGTTATTCGATTCTTCTCCAACCGGTTTTGGCTTCCGCCCGGACGGATCCGGTTCTTTCGGACCAGCATGAACCGGGGTGGGTCCAGGTTCTAACTTCATCTCACCCTCGGTTTTCGCTACATCGAACCTCGAACCGGTGGAGTTTGACTCGTTAACCGACTGGTTTTCCCGGTCTGATTCGTCACCCGTTGTTGGTAATAACTTATCAGTGTTAGTGGTGCTCTCATCGAGCCGGCGCATCTCCGGTTCGGAATTGGCCGGTTCAGTCTTTTCTTGTTCTCCGCCGATTTTGTCCTTTTCTGGCCGCTGCTTGCCGGGAACCGCCGGATCTGGTTTCTCGTCTTCATTTCCGTCATTCTCTTTCCCCTTCTCCTCCTCTAACCTCTTTACTTCTAACTTCAACGAACTAGAAAAACAAAAAGGAAAACAAAAGAAAAGAAAACTAAAATTAGATCTAAAACCTAAAATGAATTAAATTCAAATAAAATAAAATATTCGAAATTTCGAAGGAGAGAGAGAGAAAGAAAGGGATAGGGAGAGAGAGATTTACAGAATGGAGAAGTCACGACGTTCGACCTCCTGCCGGAGCTCCGCGACGCGGAGTTTCTTCAATTCGTCGAGCCAGGGGACGTGATCGGAGTTTTCGCCGGCGGCGGCGCCGTTCTGCTTAGGCAGAGGAACGTCATCGTTGCATTCGTTTGCAAATCGGCGGCTGAGATCGTGAAATTTTTGCTCGCAGTGGCGCGCGGTGGCGAGGAGGTGGGGGCGGGTGGTGCGGGACTGGACCTCCATGGCGACGGTGTCCCAGTCCTTGAAGCCGTGGCGTTTGACGGCGCACGCGAGCAAGAGCTCCTCCCACGTGCCCCAGGTTTGATGTTGGCGTTGCTTCTCTAGGTCTTGGTCTGGGTCGTGGTTTTGGTGGTTTTCCATATGATATCAGAAAGAAAGATGATGGTTTAACCATAAACTTCTCCTAAGACCCTTGTTGCCTCCTCTTCTCACACCTCTTCAAATCCAATCCCTTAATTTTTTTTAAAACATATATATATATATATATATATATATATATATATATATTTCATATATTACTTCAGCAAAAATTATATTTTTAATCTAATTTATTAAATATTTAAATAATTAAATTTAAATAAATTAATGATACAAATTTGATATAAAAAATTTTAATCTTACACAAATAAGAATATCTTATCACTATATATGTATATTGAAAAATTAAAATATGAATTATTGTTTTTTCTATGGATTACTTCTAAAATTTCTACTTAGTTGGTTTTATTTGGTTATCTTTGTTTTGATGTTCATTTATCGTTGTGAATTTGTGGATTTTGGTTAGGAAAAATCTTCAAAGTCTTGGGATTTTGTTGTCTCGTTCCTTTGGTTGGAGAAATATGGCGTTGTGTTGTGGTGATGAAGTACGTGATTTATGAAATGTTGTAATGTACCAACACTGTGCACTAACGTTTTCAATAAACGGGCCTGATCTGCGCACAATACTTGATTCAGACACGCAATTGAGTTAATGAGTTTTGCTTTCTCGCGTGACACTTACCTCAACTTTTACCCGTAAATTCCCCACTGGTTGAAATGGACACTAAACTCTTAGCCCTCATTTCTGGGTCATTTCTGGCCCAACATAATATCCGTTTTGTATTTTATAAATAACTGTACCAATTCAAAATCTTAAGATATTGAATAAAAATTTTTTTAATGATTTATATTATTTTATAAGATACATTTTCATGAGTCATTTGGGATTGAAGCATGAATATTACACAGCTCTAATTTTTTGATTTACCTTTTTGTACTTTTTATTTAATTTTAGTGGAGAGTGAGAGGGAGGTAAGGTAGGAGCTCTTAACCCTGTGATCACTTAAACTCTGATATCATATAAAGAATCATCTCAACCCAAACCTTAAGGTATTAGATGGGGTCTTTTTAATAGTTTATATTATTCTCTAACATATTTTTATAACAAATTACATATAATTGTCATTCAAAAATAAATAAATAAAAAATAAAGACATAATTTTTTTGTTACATAATAATATCTTATTTCAATTGTTTGTTCCCTTAATGCAATTTAAGTAAATAATAATACAGTTATACTGTATATGATTATGTTTATCCAAATTCCATCCTGGATGATATAATCCAGATTTGGTGCTGATATTCAGAAGAAAAATATTGTTTATTTGGAAAATAATACTATAGAAAAAGAAGAATAATGTCTACAAGAGTTTTTTTTGTCTCACGTGTGTTGAAAATTAAATTTTTTTTCATCTTTACATTTATTGCAATATATTCTCATTATTGTGCCAGCCAACTATTCAGTTATTAAATAAGGTTTATTATATTGACTAAAATTATTAATCAATGTTTTCTTAAAACAAATTATGAACTTTGATGAGGTTTAAAGTTTAAAAGACTTTCGTCATAATCATAATAAATATTTTTTATGTAAAATAAAATGTGCTTATAAAATTGTCAATTTTATATTCTATTGAAATAATTAGAGTTATGAGATTAAAGTATGCCAGTGTAAACTTTTGCGATATACTGCTCTTTCCCTCAAAGGTGTACTTGGCGTTTCAAAAAAAAAAAAATCAAAGAAGACTTTGATGAATAAATTTTGTTATTTTTAAAATATATATATATATATATATATATATATATATATATATATATATATATTCATATGTAACGTCAATAACATGAATAACAATATTCTGAGTTTATGATTTTCGCATTCACATGCTTATGTTAAGATTCACAACAAAACTTAATGTTTCAAACTTTCAATACATAGAACTTAAAAACATAACATTAGAATTTACCAAAATAAATAAATAAATATATATATATATATAATATTATTAATCTTGTGTCTTTTATTTCTTGCATATTTTTTATGAAAAAGTATAAAATATAATTTTAATAGATAGACAATGAATAGAATTCATTTCTTTATTTATATATAATTGTAATTTAAGAGGTATGACTATTTTCATTAAGTAATTGTAATTCAAAATATATGACTACTCTCGTTAATCACAATGACTATGCTCTCTGTAATTGATATGACATGACTACTTATAATTGCAATCCAATTAACATGACTATATCAATATGGAATTGACATGTAAATATGAATGTAATTATGGAATAATATAGTTACGGGATTAAATAGGATATAAAAAAATGTTAAATTATTCTAAAGAATCTTTTAGGTTTAGTTTTACTATTTTTGTATATTTTACAATTTATATCTCTATTTTAAAGTCTCTAATTAGTATAAATAAAGAATAAAACTTTTGATTACCAAAAAGAATAAAACTTTTATCTTTTGCCTATTTATTTTTCTCTTCACTCTTCCTTTCTCTATACCAAATTTGTACCATTTGGACATACTATTCTACTCAAGTAGTAATACAAAAGACGTGACTATTACCGTGAAATAATTATAGGGTTATGTTTATCTCATTTTACATGAGATAAATATCTCTCCTACACACACAAAAAAGGTTGGGTCCCACCACTTTTTTTTCTCTCTCCTCTTACATGTGGGTCTCACTTATACTTTTATTTCTACAATATAAGGTAATTCTTTTCCTACAACATAAGAAAAATATATCCCATAATTATAATGCAAAACACATGACTAATCCCATCAAATAGTTGCAGTCCAAAAATTATGACTACTCTTAACAAATAGTTGTAATCCAAAAAAAATAAATGTTCCCCTTGTAGTACAAAAGACATCTGCAAAGCATCGGACATGCAATTTTTTTTTTAAATTTGCGTGTCGGACTCGGACACGCTCGGACACGCGTTTGACATGCGATTAACATTTGGGGACACACGGTCAACTCTTCAACACGTTTTGACACATTTTTTCGACACGCAGTCAACTTTTTCTGACACGCAGTCAGTGCTCGGACACGCTCAGACACGTTTTTTTTTTTTAAATCTTAATTTTATTTTGTTAACTAAATATAAAAGAAATAATTTATAAATTAATTTTTTTCTATTATGAAATTTGACATGAAAAATTAACAAAGTACGAAAAATTATTTATATTTATATTTATATTTATGTTATGAAATTTAAATATTTGATTGGTTATATGACTTATTACGGACTCTTATATGTATTAAATATAAATTATATTATATATATATATATATATTAAAAATTTTATTTAATATCAAAAAGTGTCTCAACGTGTCGAAATATGACATTTTTTAAAATTAACGTGTCAACGTATCATGTCGTGTCGTGTCCCGTATCGGTATCCGTTACTATCTCCCTAATCCAAGTACATTCAAAAGACATTACTACTTCAATCAGTCTAACAAACATCTTTCCAAAAATTATGTAGTCAATGATCATTTATTCTTAATTTAATAATGAAATTATATACACTTAATACACATGGGATTTTTTATATGTTCTTTCACTTGTTCCTATAACAATCAATCATAATGTACACAAATATAACTAAAAGATTCACAATTTGATTGCACTGCTGAGTTGGAGGTTTTTCTTTCTCGGGTGACACTGACCTTAAAATTTCATTGGTAAATTTCCCTGCTTAGTACTCGCTATTCTTCAAGTTCAAATGAATATTGGACTTTGAAATCTTTTCATTTTATTTTTTTATAATTCCTATCACAATGTTTTGAGATATACAATGAAAGTATCTATTTCAAACTTGCTCAATATATTCTGTCTATTTCTTTCTATGTCTATCTCAATAATAAATTTTTCATTGAATAAAAAAAATGTTATACTTCAACCATGTATGTTTTTCTCTTTTGTGTACAAGTAAAACTGTATCACATGTAAGCTTATTATCTTAGGATCATGATATACTTAAAATTAAAGCAAAATGAAAATAATTTTACTTACTCACTATAGAAACAAGTTCATTTAAAAAAATATATATCTTAAAAATTGTCATTTTATATAACTTTTAGTAAAGAGTTTACATTTGATCCTCCCATTTGGGAGAGGTTTAAAGTCTTAATCATGAACTCATCCCGAATTGAACTAGTCGTGAAACGATGAACCGATGAAATATTTCAAAAATAAAATAAAATAAAGAGTTTACATTTGATATATGATCAATATAAAATTTTTACACTAATTATGTGCTGAAGAAAAAAAATTACAAGATTAATTAATAATATTAAAAGGTTATAAAGAATATTATCAAAATTAAACTCTTTATTAAAGCTCTGTAGATCCTTTCTTTTTCTTTTTCTTGCAGTAAAGTTGAATTTTTCAGCAATACATATCTTTCTTGTCGTAAAACCCCAAAATTTGTAATTAGGTGATAGTTGTTGTTAGAGCCATTTCTTCTTTACATGATGGAGATGTCACGCTTGTGCATTATGTACAGCAAATCTACATTATCAAAAAACACAAGCAATTAAAGTAAAAAATAAGAACATCATACTTCATACAAAATTAAGCACAAAACAACTAGAATTTAAACTTATTTGAAAGTTTAAGTCAAATGATAAAATAATTTTTTTATTTATAAGAAGAATTCAGTACGAGAATAATATGCAAGTTTGAAACTTAATTTATATCTAAAGACCCTTGTTAATCCTATCCCTTAATTCATTTGTCTGTTAAAAAGAGTCTTTTTATCTAATGGACTTTGATTTTGATTATATCAAAAACTTCTTAATTTCCAAGTTTTTAAATAGATTTAGGGTGTCTTTGGATAAATTATATATAAAAAAAACTATGATAGACTTTTTCTGGATTTTTATAGAAATTATTTTTTTCTAACTTCTAATAACAAACACTACAACAGTTTTTTTTTTTTTTTGAAAAGTTATCTAATTATTATAAAAATTTTAAACATGTTTCTTTGTTAAATAAGTGCAAACATAAGGGGCCTTATAGGTTTTTTAAAATCTCAGATTTTTTAAATCTTTTATATTTCTAAATTATTAAGAATAATTAGTAAAGATAAAA